GTATATTTAGAAGGGTGATTGATTGCATGCACTGAACAGGGCTACAGGTTCCATGAATTTGCACCATCTTTTCATTCTACAATTGTCTTGTTGGTTACCCATTTTGGCTCTCGATCTATAATTGTACATATACAAATACTTTGCCTCTCACTGTATATGCTTTGAACAATTTAGCATAATTTCACCCTAGAACCATAGAATTATATTTCTGATAAATATGGCTTCGGATGGACAGCATGTGGTTGTTTCTAACATGGAGATTGAGAGCTTGGATGGAGGCAAAGAAGATGCTGACATTTCCAAAACGCAGGTTAGTCTTTAATACTTATTTTTCTTTTTGATTTTCTTCCAAATCTCATGTTTTCTTTCAATTTTCATGTTGTGGCATGATTTGGCTTGATGAGTCTCTCAGATTGTGCCATGGGCTAATAGATCTGATCCATAAGGCTAATATTATCATTTGTTCTAGCTTGAGTAATTGGTTGCAACTGGGAACCTAAGTTTGAGCTTAATAACTGGGCGTGAGTTTGACTTGAGAAAACCTTGTCAAACTGTTAGACTTTCTTCTCTTAATATTACAAACTTTTGTTTTTGTTTTTTGTTTTTTCCTTAATCTCTTTCGGGTGCAGATTGTTGGTTGAGACTAAAGAGGCATGTGTTGTGGAAGAGTTAGATGGTTTCACTGAATAGGAGTGTGGGCTGCAGGGGTATCCACTAATTCACAAATGGATTTCTTCTCAATCAGAGAAATTTCTTCCTCCATAGCTTTCTTCTAAGCTACATCATCACAGCTTCTTCAAAACTTTTTGGTTCAATGACACATAAGTTACAACTAGCAAACACACCACTGAGATTCAATTTCTTTCTTGGAGTTGAACTAGAACTGAAACCTGGTGATTGTGGTGTTGAACGACTTGCTACTTGAGGAGACCGTGGTGGAACTTCATGTTCAACTTCTTCTTCATTCTCTTCTACTTCAATGGCATCATTAAATTGAAGTGAAGAACCTTGGACAAATACCAATGGGGTCTAGCTCAGTGGAAAAGGGCCTTGACTGGCAAACTAGTTGTCTCAAATTCGAACCCCATGGCGTAATAGTAGTGTGTGTGAGAAACTGTCCTCTCCTGTAGTTTAGACTATCGCTTGTACTCAAAAAACAGAAAGCATTAGACAGATTTTTTCTTCCAATTTGAAGAAGTTTCTTCACTACAAATAACATCCCTCGAATTATAACTTTCTCTTTCTTCAAGTCATAGAATCTATAACCCTTTGTATGACTGTTGTACCTGACAAAGATACACTTCTCACTGTTTTCTTCAAGTTTGTGCCTAAGGTTCTTGTGAACATGAGCATAGCATATTGATCCAAACACCCTCAACTAACTCACAGATTTTTTGGCACTGCATGCTTCAAATGGTGTCAAATACACATCAGTATAAACTTCTCCCCAAAACACATAGGGCCCTTCTCAAGTAACATGGACTTTGCCATTTCAACAATATTCATGTGCTTCTTCTCAGCTGCTCCATTTCGTCGTGGAGCATAAGATGTAGTGAGTTGTCCCTCAAGTCTTGTATCCTCACAAAACTTTCCAAACTCATTTGAAGTGTACTCACCACATCTATCACTTCTTAGAGTTTTAATTTTCAAACCTCTTTGATTCTCCACCATCACC